CAAATTTAAGACTGGAAAGCAGAAACAGAGCACAGTGGAAAAGATGAGGGCCGTGGAATTACACACCTGTCTTCAACCTCAGCACCACTCTTGGTGAGTTCCTTGGGTGCTCAAGGCTCAGGTGTAAAATGGGACGATAAACTTACCTCAGATGCCACCTCGCAGAGTAAATGGTGCATAGGTAGTACTTACATTTTAGTTTCCTTACTCCTCGCCACCCTCTTACAAATAAATCTGTTCAATTAGATTTTGGAGCTTATTATTTTTAGTTAAGACTGAACCATAAAACCTTTCAATAAACTTTGCTAACAGCATGTTGCTTTTGCAAATTAATACTTGTATCACACCATCTCCCCTGACTTGCATAGAATTCTTAATTGGTGGAAGGGAAATAAATGACCACAAATTAAGTATCTTTCTCTCCACATGTGTTTATTCTCCACTTTATTATAAATAATTTCAAATATGCAGAACAGCTAAAAACCATGTATAATTATAACCCATATACTATAACCCATAATAATGTGGAGGTTAATAGGCCAATATCAGAATTTCTTTTTTTTAAAATATATTTTTATTGATTTCAGAGAGGAAAGAAGAGAGAGAGAGATAGAAACATCAATGATGAGAGAGAATCATTGATCGGCTGCCTCCTGCATGCCCCCCATTGGGGACTGAGCCCACAACCCGGGCATGTGCCCTTGACCAGAATCGAACCTGGGACCCTTCAGTCCACAGGCTGATGCTCTATCCACCAAGCCAAACCAGCCAGGGCTCAAAATTTCTTAATTATATCGTATCTCAATGACTTGTAGGTATCTAAAACCCACAAACAGAAGTCATCCAAAGGGTTCTTCACTGTGAGCTCTCCAATGAACCTTTCTCCATTCATTACATGAGGGTTTTCCTGTTAATGAACCATCAAAGGTTGAACTACTCTTTTCCATAATGCCACTTGGTCTCTTGGCTTAGCTGGGCCTGGACCTGCTTTCTTTTTGGCACACATGGTAGGTGCTTCTTCTTCCTTCAATCTATTCCTTCCAGATTTTCAATTAATAGTAGAATTGCTAGATTTAGCAAAGAAAAAAATACAGGACATGCAGTTAAATTTGAATTTCAGATGAATGATTAAGATTTTAGCATAGGTATATCCAAATGTTACATGCAGCATGCTTATACTAACAAGTAATCCATTGTTTACCTGAAATTCAAATTTAAGTGAGAAATCCTATATTTTATCTGGCAACTCTATAAAGCAGACAAGAGTCCAAAGAGCTTCTGAGGGGGTCGTGAAGCTCTGATACCTGAGCTCTCATGCTCCCAAGTTTGAAAATAACAAGAAAGAAGGATAGAGAAAGAAGTATTTTTGCACCACAAATAATAAAGGAATTAATAAGTTAGAATATTTTTGAGCTACTTGGTAGCTAGACAGAGTGTCTGAGGTGTATTTGTATTGGTTTTAATAAGTAGTCTGTGGGACTCTGGGGGAAAGAGGGTATATGAACCTGAACACATTGAATGAATTTGTGATTAGGGTAGAATCACATGTATACAAGTTTAAGAGGGTATATCACACGTATTGCCACACTAATGATATGTAACAATAGACTATGAAACCTTGGTGGCACAGCTAGGAGGTAAGCTTTTATTGCTCACACTTTGGAGTCATCTAGGGGGTGGCTTTGTGGTTCTGCTGATCTTGGCTGAACTTGCTCATGTCTGAGGGTCTGACTATTGAATGCTCTAGGTCAGCTCTGCTCCATCCATTTCTCGTCTTCTTCTAAGAACTATTCATTCAGCTGGCCCAGAGATGTCTTTCTCACAACAGCATTTCAGGTACAGGGAGAGCAGCAAATGCATGCAGACCTTTGAGGCCTAGTCTAAGAATCGGCCTGGTGTCACTTTCACCTCATTCTATTAATCAAAAATCCTGCTTCTATGAGTGAGGAAATGTGTTCTGTCTCCTTAGTGAAAGAAGGGCAAAGTCACATGGCAAAAGGTGGGAATGCAGGTGAGGTCAAGAATCCGGGCCATCATTATAATCTAGCACAAGGAGTGGGTAAAATAAAAGAATAAATTGGAAATTTAAAAAGTTGCTTAAAAACTATACATTTGTTTGAAATTGTAGTACTTTTTCTTCTCCAAGATGAGTAATTTTCAAGAGTTCCAAGTAAATTTCTTCAGTTTGTGAGGCAGAAATGCCAGCAGTGCTACACAAATTACCAGAATGTTTCACAATTCTTCTCAAAATACCTGTCAGAAAAGTTCTTTTGAGGGAACACATGGTGGCATTTTTTTCTTGCCATCAGCAAAATATATCTATCCATATGAAGAGTCTGAGGTGTTAAGGATGAAAACTTGCAGGAAATCAGTAACATTTAAAAGATAAAGAAAACCAACTGAAGATCCAGAATAAGTAGGTTACTGTTTTGGTGTCTCTTGAAATCCAGCACCATCTTCATCGTTTGCGAAATCCGGCCATTGGAAAGAAGACTGGAAGTGAGGTTTGGGATTCTGCCACGTACCTGGTTGTGTGACTTTGGCAAAATAGCAATCTCTTTGTGTACTTTTTTGTTCTATATGTGCATCAGATAAAAATTTTGTGTAAACTTTAAAGCACCAAATAAATATGATCTATGTGTACATCAAAAAAAACTCTCATGTGCCTGACCAATTTTCCCAGCACCATTTATTGAAGAGATTGTCTTGACTCCATTGTATGCTCTTGTTTCCTTTGTCAAATATTAATTGAGCATAATGGCTTAGGTCTATCTCTGGGTTCTCTGTTCTGTTCCATTGGTCTATATGTTTGTTCTTGTGCCAGTACCAGGCAGTTTTGAGAACTGTGGCTTTGTAATACAGCTTGATATCTGATATTGTGATCCCTCCAACTTTGTTCTTCTTTCTCAGGATTGCTGTGGCATGCTGTGCCACACTAATGATATGTAACAATAGACTATGAAACCTTGCTGGCACAGCTAGGAGGTAAGCATTTATTGCTCACACTTTGGAGTCATCTAGGGGGTGGCTTTGTGGTTCTGTTGATCTTGGCTGAACTTGCTCATGTCTGAGGGTCTGACTATTGAATGCTCTAGGTCAGCTCTGCTCCATCCATTTCTCTTATTGTCACATGACTATTTCTCATTTGAAAAAAAAATGAAAGTCATTAACACCTCGTCTTAAAGTTCTAAAGTAGCATATTCAGCTCTTAAGGCAATTTAAGTTCTAAAGATTAAAAAACCAAGTGTTTTATGGTAATAAAATATGCCACCATGTGTTCCCTCAAAAGACCTTTTTGAGGTCTTTTTTTTTTCCAGATGAATTTTTGGAGAGTTTGTTCTAGGTCTGTGAAATATACCGTTGGTATCTTAATAGGGATGGCATTGAATCTATAAATTGCTTTGGGTAGTATGGACATTTTAATGATGTTGATTGTACCAATCCATGAACACGGTATGTTCTTCCATTTGTTTATGTCTTCCTCTATTTCTTTTTTCAATGTCCTGTAGTTTTCCGAGTACAGGTCTTTTACCTCCTTGATTAAGTTTATTCCTAGGTATCTTTTTTGTTGCTGTTGTTGCAATGGTAAATGGGATTGTTTTTTTATTTTCAGTGAGTTCATTATTGGTATATAAAAAAGCCATAGATTACTGGGTATTAATTTTGTATACTGCTACATTGCCAAGTTCTTTTATTAAGTCTAGTAGTTTTTTGATGGAGTCTTTGGGGTTTTCTATGTATAATATCATGTATTCTGCTAATAATGACAGTTTAACTTCTTTTCCAATTTGGATGCCTTTTATTTCTTCTTCTTGTCTGATCACTTTGACTAGCACTTCCAGGACTATGTCGAACAGGAGTGGTGAAAGTGGGCATTCCTGTCTTGTTCCTGTTCTTAGGTTTTAGTTTTTGCCCATTGAGTATGACGTTGGCTGTAGATTTGCCATATAAGGCTTTTATTACGTTGAGGTATGATCCCTCTATTCCCACTTTGCTGAGAGTTTTTATCAAGAAACAGTGTTGGATTTTGTCAAATGCTTTTTCTGCATCGATTGATATGATTATGTAATTTTTGTCTTTCAATTTGTTTATGTGATGTATCATATTTATTGATTTGCGGATATTGTACCATCCTTGCATCCCCGGAATAAATCCCATTTGGTCATGGTGTATAATCTTTCTAATGTAAGACTGAATCCCATGCAAAAATAAGAATGAAACTAGATTACCAACTTACACCATACACAAAAATAAACTCAAAATGGTTAAAGGACTTAAATGTAAGATGGGAAACCATAAAAATCCTAGAAGACTCCATAGGCAGCAAAATATTAGACATATGTCATAGCAATATCTTTACCGATACAGCTCCTAGAGCAATGGAAACTAAGGAGAAAATAAACAAATGGGACTACATCAAAATAAAAAGCTTCTGCACAGCAAAGGAAACCATCAACAAAATAACAAGAAAGCCCACTACATGGGAGAACATATTTGCCAATGCTATCTCAGATAAGGGTTTAATCTCTAAAATTTACAGGGAACTCATTCAGCTTAATAAAAGGAAGATAAACAATCCAATCAAAAAATGGGCAAAGGACCTAAATAGACATTTTTCGAAAGAGGACATACCAAAGGCCAAGAGACATATGAAAACATGCTCAAAGTCACTAATCATCCGAGAGATGCAAATCAAAACAACAATGAGGTACCATCTCACACCTGTCAGAATGGCTATCATCAACAAATGACAAGTGCTGGTGAGGATGCGGAGAAAAGGGAACCCTCCTGCACTGCAGGTGGAAAGACAGACTGGTGCAGCCACTGTGGAGAACAGTGCATTTAAGTTATAATGCCTGGGCTTCAATGTAGACCAGGGAACCCTAATAAATGGTAGGTATTACTTTACTTGTTTGTTTACTGGCTAACAGAGATGTGTTCATCAGGTGAAGTACACAAATAGGCTGGTTGACACAAACGGCATTAAAAAAAAAAGCATCCCACATATATAACTTGCTTTTATTAAACAGGGGGGAAAAATCAACACATTTTTCAAAGAGACAGGTATCTCAGTAGTTTTAGGAAAAACTAACATAACATCAGCTTGTTTGACAAAGCTTTTAAAATAAGTGAGCAATTAAATTCTTAAAGTAGGAACAGAATATTAACAAGGTCTAGACTCCAGAACACTTGTAAGCAAACACATTAGGCACCGTTTGGCTTAACAGTTTTAGCTTTAATGTAAATATATATTATTATTTAGAATATTTGCATCTGAACTACATAATGACTTTATTTTTTCATTTTACTTTAATTAAAACCAAGATTTCTGGAACCTCCAAGTAGTCTTTAAAGTTTTCCAATATGGACATAAACTAACTCCTATTCCTTTCTACATATTAAATGTGAAGTAACTGTTACAATATATCATTCTCACAGGAAGATTTTTAAGGCTTCTGGCACATAAAATGTGTAATATCTGTGTGACAATAACATAATTATATACAGAAAATATTTAAAATTTACCTTGTGCAATTTAAGTTCTAAAGATTAAAAAACCAAGTGTTTTATGGTAATAAAATATTAAAATATAATGTACTCCCCATAAATTTGACACTGATTTTGTAATTACACAAAGAACACAGAAGAGTTGCACACTAAATGATTTATCACTGAAATTAACCGTTGAACTGAATATACTTATTGAATATCATTCATTTTCTAGATCATACTTTCAGCACAAAATAGGCTTTAATATAACTTATAACATTTGCAATTAAACCATGACACTCAGGCAGCCAATGTCAGCTCTAGGTTTGCCTAGTTATTCACGTATCATACAAATATGTCTATGACTCTTAATTTATCCTTTTGTCTAAGTCACATTGCAGATAATGTGTCAACAAGTAAGTGGAACAAAAACCAACAACAACATGACTATTTCTCATTTGAAAAAAAAATGAAAGTCATTAACACCTCGTCTTAAAGTTCTAAAGTAGCATATTCAGCTCTTAAGGCAAAAAAGGTAAAAAATATTATTATAAATTATAAATTCTGATAATTCTTCTTTTGGCATTAAAAGCCACAGCATAAACTCTTACACTTTCGTAGATAATATATTAGTGTACATCTGAATATATATTTGCTAACATTCCCCATTCGAAGTTGCTCTGTGACGTGGAGGAGGTGAAGGGCAGTAGGTCAGGGCAACCTTTAATGGCCATCCTGGGCATCAAGGGACATGGAATGACTGAGTCTTGACTTTCCATTCATAGATATTGTATTTGATGGAACAGTAACCTAAGAGAAAGAAACACACTTTATACCCGTCAATTTAAAATGGGACAGCTATCTAATTTTCAACAATTACTACATTTAACGCCTGTTTAATTGTAAATGCTATAAAGTTTAGTATTTATTATGCAATAAATGACAAATAAGAATAAATGTTCACTCTACCATGAAATTAAAAATGAAAGGGTTGTTATTTCCACAACAAACAAGTTAAATAACCCACTAACACATCTTATTCTCTATAAGATTGCCAAATCAACTCAAAAGGACAAGAGCGTGAACTGACTGCAGGCCAAGCTGTTAAAGAGCATTGTTACCTAGATTAATTCTGGCTCTTCAAAAGTGCCCTGGAGAATGTACAAAAATAAAGGGAATTCCACAAAGCAAAGAATTTTACAATTTTTGTATAGATGGTATATATTAACTTGAAGTTCCCCTCACAAGTATCCCTTATTTATAAGGAAAAAAAAAAGAGCTTTGGTTTTTAAAATGCTTTCTTAAAAAGGGCTAAAAAAGTCAAATTTATGACTGTTATGCTAAAACAGTTGCTGGATAAAAAGATTTTGTTTTGTTCTTTTTTTAATAAATAAACTCATAAGTTCCAAAATTGTATGCCAAAGTTTTCTATTTATAAAGTGTAAGTGAATGAAAAACACTATAACAAGAATTTACTAAATAGTCTGAAATTCCAATATTATTTAGAAAAATGTAAAAAAAAATCATCTGGATTTTAAGCAGTAAATAGGTACACTATTTTGAAATACATCAAATATGGTAGTATTCTAAGAAACATAGTTTATCTCTAGAGTATAAGTTGACTAGTTTAGGTTCATAACCAAACATTAACATCTTCTCACAAGAAGAGATTTGAAGTACAAAAGGCCACCGATTCTGCTAAGTAACAAAATAAGTTAGTGAAAGGAAAAATAAAATTGGCAAATTTAGTTTGAATTTGGTTTCCTGTACTTCCTTTGTTGCTTTTCACTAAGGGAAGAAGGATCATGTGAACTAGTCAATTGTCTTGACTCTCTTATGAATCCAGGGTGGAGTAGAATGGCTGACATTACCCACCTGAAATAAAAGAGCTAAGAAGAAAAGTTGCCACTAGGGAAGAAAAAATCGTCCGCACCCTGTTTAGTATTCATGTAGGATTTCTTTCCAAGTAGAGCCAACAAACAACACACAGGTAATGACTTGTCATTATGAAACCTTGGTCCAAAAAGTCTCTGTGTGTAAAAGTTGTTCTTGTAATTCTTGTTCACATAATTCTTTGTAAAGTACAAGAGAGGAATTTGTTTTAAGCATTAAAACAACATACTGATGGCTCCAAATATCTACAAGTAAAAGGTATCATTGTTGCACTATTGTTAGTGAAAAACTAGGACCCAGGTAAATGTCCATCAATAAAGAGCAATTAAGCTTATACTCATCCACAAATACTATGTAGTCTTAAAAGAATAAAATAATGTGGAAAGCTTCAAAGAGATATATGTTTTTGAATGCTTCATAGAAGATTTTTTTTATATAAAAAAATTAAGTATGTTTACATACTGCAAATGTGGTATGACAGATTACACTGTAATCTATCTATCTAGAGCATTTACTTTGGGGAAGGAAACTGTATTTTGTTTATTATTTAAAGATTTGTTTACTGAACTGTCAAACATGAGAAGACATCATTAAAATTCTGTTTTATAAATTCTGTGGGGTCAGAGACCTTTTTTATTTTAATGCTACTTTATACTCATGTTTGTTTTAGTGCCTGGCACAGAATAAAACAATGAATATTTCTTGAATGGAATATGGTAACTTTTTACAAGCATTTATAAAGTAAAAAATATTGCTTAATTTTTGAGCAATGAACACATGACACTTATAATAAAGATATTTTTTTAAAGTAACTTTTAAGAATTTACTGATGAGTATGTACTAGTTGACTGCCTATCCTTGAAGTTTAAAAAAATTTCAGGAATATTTACATAGCTTTCTTATTCTCATAAAGAAAGTTAATTATGAAACTATCATTTATTTTTACTTGAAAAATATATGAAAAGAACTACCCACCTGAAACCCCTGATAGTTCAAATTCAAACTAAGGAAATATGAATCAAAAGCAAACCAATGAAATAAACAAAACAAGCCAGCATGATTCTGGATGAAGTTTCCAGTTCTTTTCTTCACTCCAGATTTCTATCTAGTCAAAGATAAGTTTTACTTACATTCTGAGGAAATACTTAATATCAAGTAATAAGCCTCATTTGTCAATTTTCAGATTTTATTTTTACAACCCTATTTTCTACCTGCAATAGTAATTCGAGCACTATCAGGATCTGAAAGCTGACAAAGAAGTTCTGGTGTCAGCTCAAGTCAACAATAATGAATTACCTAATCTGTTTTATTTTCTGAAAACAATCTGCTGATTAATATACAAATCTAAATATCAAACACATTTTATAAAATACTGAGTTAGATTTATTAATGCTGCATCTAAAGAGAAATTTCTGTGGCTGCATGGGGGTCGAGTGGGAGTAAGGCAAAAACCTTAAGAAACAGGAAAAAAAAAACACATGGCATGCTCATGACTACATTCTCACTAGAGCGATCAAGGAACAATTGTTCTAATGTGAACCAACCATTATAATGAAGGTTAATTGCTCGGTATGAACCAGAGCCATAAGGCAGGTTGGCACCTGGAATTAAGCAACATTTGGGTGCCAAAAGGAAGGCAAACCCTGAGCCAACTTTCTGATGAACAATCTAAGCCTACTGTCAAAATCACTAGGGACTGTATTTGGCACTAGAACTGCTGCTCTATTTAAAAATGTTAGAATTTAAAACAAACCGGGAGAAACATCTCAGACAGGACAGAAATATGGGACTAAGCAAATATCACAAGAAATTAGAGCCTTCTTGTGCCCACTTATACCAACTTTGGCAATTTTTTGAAATAGAATACATTTACAGAAAAGCCCAATGGGAACAAGCACAAACATGTATCTAACCCACCTCCCTGCTAACCCTGTCTTTACTTAACATTCTGACATTTTATTCATCATGGATTTTGCATTAATTTGGACATTTAAAAAATATTGCTTTAAGATAATATTCATCTTGACTACTTAGTTATTTGGTTCCCTCTTAAATTGTGTGCCTGTGCTCCAATGAGCCCCTAACAGCCCCTTGGCTTTCCCTCTGAAGTAACCACTATCAGGATTTTTATAATTATTTCCTTGATTTTAAAAATAATTGCCACCTACCATGTATCACTAAAGAACATAATTTAGTGTTGCGTGCTGTCAAACTACAAATTTCATAGGTATCTATACTGTCATATTTAGCTATATTTTGTCCAATCATTGCTATATGATAGTCTGCGCTTTGAATATACTACTATTCATTCTACTATTTCTGGATAGTAAGGCTATATTTCTTGGAAACTTTTACAAACAATATTCCAAGAATATTCTTATATGAGAGTCCTGGTACACACATAGTTTTAGCATATATAACTAGAAGTGATCATGAAGTGGAAGCTGATTGTGAAGTGTGGATACTGTGAACTTTACTAGACCTGGTGTCCATTCTTAGTAGAATAAATGGATTATGTAAGACATTTTCATTATACAAAATTTAGGAGCTGGCGCTACGTACGTAGACTCAGAGCTACCCATAATCTACTGAGACAGATAAAATTTAGGCTCAATAGAACTTAATGAGTTATATACAGGAGACAATTATAGATAGCATCATCATTTTGGGCCTGTTCTCTCCGTTGATTCACATCCAGCTCATTCTGGAAGCAATGAGAGTTTTATATGTGAAGAGATTGCCAAATCAGGGCTCATAACACACCAAGCAAACAGCTGCTTGCCTGTGCAATTCTATTGAGCTAAAAGGCATCTCCACCTTAATGCACTGTTTTCTACACTTAGTTCATTGACACTGATTAATATATCCACTGGCTTAGTGGAAACACACTGCAATTATCTCCTGTGTAGTTACTTGGTTCTCCTGTGGGCCTGATGTATCACTGTTTCTCAGACCCAGGCAGTGAACACCCAGAAGGCAGAGGCTTCATTTGACTCATTTTTGTCTTCCAAGTATCCAGTACAATGTTTGACACCTATGTGCTTAAAACATGCTTGTCAAATTTATTGAATTGAGAAGGCTTTAGATTTGGAAAGGATATATCTGAAATACATCCTTAATTTACAAGATAAAAATGGAAATATTTTCATAAATGAGAATATGTGATTTAATAGGGGCATATGTCCCCACAAAAATTCAAATGTCATCTGGTGAACTACCAATTTTAATATGTGAAGCTCTACCAAATGTTTGCTGTCTGGCACCTAAATTCAGCCTACAAACACTCTAAAAAAAATTCCACCTTAATTCCCTGATTTACTCCTTCACGTTTCCTCCACTCCTGACAGCACACAACGTTTTGCCTTATCTCCAAGTGTGCCCAGATGGGAGCACCAAGCCCTCCAGCCGAATGGCTGTCGCTCACAGCTCCTCTGAAACACACACACTGAGGAAATGGCCAGAGTAGGCAAGGCCTGCCAAGGAGGTGTGCCCAAGATTTCTTCCCTTTTCTCTCCATCTTTGCAGCATTCCTATTGCTTTGCAGATTTCATTTCTATCGAGCTCGGTGTTTTACTCAAGTCTCTTAATCTTCTCTAAATAGCTTCTAAAACGATTAGAGAAGGAATTTACAAAATAAAATGCCTACGGATTCAGTGGAATAATGATTTTTTTTCTTGTTTTGGGTGTTGAGGAATTTGCAATCAAGACGATTAAAGAGAGAATAAGAAAGACATTTAGGGAGACTATAGCCTTTGGGAAGTCCAAGTGATGATGCCAGGCTTAGGCTCCTCCATGTCCTTTTTTAAAAATATATATATATTTTTTATTGATTTTAGAGAAGAAGGGAGAGGGAGAGATAGAAACATCAAAGATGAAAGAGAATCATAGATTGGCTGCCTCCTGCATGCCCCCTACTCGGGGGCATGCCCACAACCCAGGCAAGTGCCCTGACCAGGAATCTAACCGTGACCTTCTGGTTCATAGGTCTTCACTCAACCACTGAGCGACACCAGCCGGACATCCATGTCCTCCTTCAGTGGATGAGGGTGACAGAGGGAGTAAACTCACCTGCAGTGATTCCCTGTGACAGTTGTTTGGTATCTGCCCCATTCCCAAAGCTCTCCTACACCTCAGTACAGGGGAGCTGAACAATTCTAGCGGAGCATTATTAGGACTTGAATATCTACATTAGGTCTTATCTCAGTTCTCCAGGTTTTCTCTACATTTTTTGGTTTGACCTATAAAAACTCTCTCCCCCTTTCGGCACTTTCATCTAATCCAGCGGTTCTCAACCTGTGGGTCGCGACCCCTTTGGGGGGGTCGAACGACCCTTTCACAGGGGTCGCCTAAGACCATCAGAAAACATATATATAATTACATGTTGTTTTTGTGATTAATCACTATGCTTTAATTATGTTCAATTTGTAACAATGAAATTGGGGGTCGTCACAACATGAGGAACTGTATTAAAGGGTCGCGGCATTAGGAAGGTTGAGAACCACTAGATTCTAGAACCACTGATTAGAACCACTGATTCTAATCCCATATGTGGTACTAACTTGATTCCCTAGTAACCATAACTGAAACTAGTGCAGGTTACTATCACTAGTGCAGATTCTCTGGAATACAGGGGAATCATCTTTCCAAAATAATCTTTCCTGTTGAACTAACAATTTCTTTCTTTTTAAAAAAATATAATTTTATTTATTTCAGAGAGACCAGGAGAGGGAGAGAGAGAAAGAAATGTCAATGATGAGAGAGAATCATTGATCAGCTGCCTCCTGCACGCCCGCTACTGGGGATCAAGCCTGTAACCTGGGCATATGCCCTGACCGGGAATCAAACTGACCTCCGGGTTCATAGGCCCATGCTCAACCATTGAGCTGAGCTGGCCAGGCGGGCTAACAATTTCTTAAAATAAGAGTCCAGGTACTTTCTATATCTACTTACATAATAATGAGCAAAAGGCATGTTGTGCACCTGGTCCATGTTATGGAAAACAGACTTGACATATTTTAAAGTATGTGTAAGACTCCGGACTCTCTCAGACTTTACTTCAAAAATGACCCCTGACACAAAAGAGTAACTTCTGACATCTTATGTATTCAAGTTTAAATGCAGGAAACAATTTCCCCTAAGTATTAGTCTGACAGTGTTGAAAAGAAATCCACTGTCACCCATCTGATAAAGAAAACTTACCCTTTTCAATTTGGCAGCAGCCTCTCCAGAACGGATTGCAGTCAGCAGACTTTGTCGGAACTCTTCGGGGTCAGAGCTTTGGAATGTTAGAGAACTTTGCCTCTTAAGGGTGAATGGTGGGCAGTTGGTTGGAGATGGTATTTGGGAATTCTGCTCACTATGTGCAGAGTTATTTTCCTAAAACAATAAATGCAAAATATTTATATGAATACCAAGTGAAAAATGGGCAATTTTTCAACATTTTTTTTTCTTCACCAATAGTGCTTTAGGAATCACCATTTGCCACATTGGTTTCCTAGACATAGCTCTATTTCCTCACCCACTGAATCGTCTCAGCTACCAGAGCTCAGCTGGAAAGAGGGCATTAATTTCCCTTCTCTTGAATAGGGAGGGTGCTAAGGCAGAAAAGTGGTACCTCTCTTTGTTTCATGAACAAAGGGTAATTTTACTGTCCTTGAGACAAATAAGGCTGATTTCTCCAACGGAGTTGCCTAAGAGAGCCAAATGAATTTTAAAAATAAATATTCCACAGACTAAAAAAGAACCCATTTTCACAGTTCCAACTTATTAGGTTGTGAAATTATTATTTTTGATGGTTCAAAATAGACAAATATTGGCAAATTCACACTGGTTGAAACTAGCAACATATCATCTAATAATAAAATGTTAATGATTATGCTACCTGTAATGGCTTGTTTTGTTTCTGGAAGTTAGAAGGACTAGAGATGGCCATGTTTTCTTTATTTTTCCCATGGAACTAAAAATAAATAATAGGAACTTCTAAGAATTAAAATTTTAATTCAACTTCTTAGAAATGAATATTTAGTAACTAATTCAACTGGCAACTATTATCAAAAAATGTTAAATATGTCTTTTTCAAACTGCCAAATAAATATCTTTAAAAATGATGAGTTAAACAGAGCTCAGGCAGTGGCTCAAAGACTGTATTTTCCAAATCAAGCTTCTGTTGTTTAGGAAAGGTATTCCATTCTAAGAAAAAACACAGGCTTTATTCCCAAGTAAAGAATTAATCTCACACCATATATCTCTTCCTGAAATTATATCAAAGTAATAAACATAAATGTGAAATGAAGAAATATTCTTCAAGATAAATATTGCATTGAAATTATGGAAAAATCTTTACTTGGCAATATGGTTAATGTTCTGTTACTCTCGGAATGTTTGAAAAATTCGTATAAAATACATCTGGAACTGTCACACAAATATGGAAGTATTCTTTAAACACGATCAGAGTAAAAGTACACAAAGTATTTTTTAAAAATTGTGTGGGGAATATCATAACTCATTCTGTGAATTTCATCCTCTCCTTTGACTATGCGAATCTGGCAAATTGTAATAGTTGAGCAAACACTAAGTCAACAAATACCCCCTCTTTTTGTAAATTATTAAGGTTACATAGTTAAGTGATATTTTGGTCAACATACACATAACTGGAAAAGCTGACACTGAATTAACAAAATAGGAAATTAAGAAAATGGCATATTTAAACTCTGGTTTTAAATTATTTATATGTAAAGATATCTAATAAGCTGAGGTTAAGTGTATATTATAGAAAATACATAGCTGAGAGATGCTTGGTTATTTTACCTAGGCTTTGATACTGTTTATATAAATATATATATTAAATATATTTTTATTGATTTCAGAGAGGAAGGAAGAGGAAGAGAGATAGCAACATCTATGATGAGAGAGAATCATGGATCAGCTGCCTCCTGCACGTCCCATACTGGGGATCAGGCCTGCAACCTGGGCATGTGCTCTGACCAGGAATCCAACCGTGACTTCCTAGTTCATAGGTCCATGCTCAACCACTGAGCCATGCCTGCCAGGCTATATTACTATATAATTAAAACTATTTTTGCAATTATATAGAATTGGAGAAAAAAATAAAATAAACCAGAACATCCAGAAAGTTATAAACAAATTAAGATAAGCAAAACCCAGGGAAATAGAGTCAGAACTATAAACTAGTACACTACAAATGTAGGAGCAAAGAAACTTTAAATTAAAATATTTGCTGAGAATATAATTATATGTTGGCCTTATACCCAATCAAATTATATGAATTACTAGAGGCCTGATGCACGAAATTCATGCAAGAGTAGGCCTTCCTTCCCCCGGCTGCAAGCACCAGCTTTCCTCTGGCACCCGGGACCCGGGCTTCCCTCATGGCCCGGCTTCGTCTGGAAGGTCATGCGGAAGGACGTCTGCTTTTATTATTATAGATAGTAATTCTGAGAGTAAATATCAGATTCTAGGTATTAAACTTTTTTTTTCTACAGCAGGTTGTTTGATAATAGATTAATATGAATTCAGACTTAATACACAAACATATCAACATGCTGTACAAGAACCCCTTCTTTTTAAAAAGGTAAAATTTACCTTATTGCTCACACCGAGTTGTGGGACGTCCACAGGTGTATCCACCGCAGGACTTTTCCCTTCCTCCGCGTCACTGGGAGCTGGCGCAGAGGCACCCTCACTGCAGGACTCGGTGCGCACTTTGCTGAAAGACTGAGACCGTTTCACTACAGCCAGGGCGAAGGGCGAAGGCGCCGAGCTCGAGTAAGGTCGCGGGGCACCGAACGTTGTCAGAGTCTTCAGGTTTAGTGCTGCCAACTGGCTTGTGGGAAGAGAAACAGGTTTGGGAGCCACAGGGGGAGGAGGAGAGGTTTCAGGAGGCTTCTGACTGCTGAGGCCATCAGCGTCTTTAACGTGGGGCTGCGGAGGCGAGCGAGCTGTCTTACTGGAGGGAGAAGGAGTTTGCTCTGGAGGAGGCATCGGATCCCTTTCGGCCTCCTTCTTCGGGAGCTCCTGTGGAGCAGGGGTAGGGGCAGTGTGGACACTCTTGGCGGCGGCAGATGTCACGTACTGACCCGAAGCTCTTTTTTGCATTTGCAAAAAAAAGGAACTTGGTTTGGCCTGGGGATTTGAAACCCGAGATTTAAGTCTTGACTCTAATATATTGTTTATATCTTCCAAGTTTGGCGCAAAAGGAGCCGTGCCAGTGTCTCTCGTCATTCTGGGCGTGGGTTTCAGAGGATTTGCCGCGGGGCTGTGGGGCACGCCCGCCACACTGTGCCCTTTATGCTCTGATCTCAGGGCAGGCTTGGGTTTAAGGTCTAGCTGTGGCTCCTTTGGACTTTCAGAAATAACAAAATCTTCTGTCTGCATTGCAGTTTCTTTCACATTCTCATGCATGTGCTTTTTCCCTAAAGAATGTCTGTCTTGATCATCTTCATACCCTAAGGTTTCTGTTTCCGCATCTTTTACTATTTCCAGGGACTTGGGAGGCACTATTTTATAAGTAGTCATCCCAATTTTGGGTATATATTCTCTTGTAATTTCATTGGAAGGTTTTGGCTTGGGATTGTAGTCTTGTCTGTAGAGTGGATAATTCTTCATATAAGAAGCCGTTGAGTTTTTATTAATCTCATCTACAGGAGCATCATTACCATGTGCATACATTGGATCTTTCATGGTGAGCTGATCTTCTGAATGTACAGTGAGAGGGCCCTGTCTCCTGAATTCTCTTGAGGTATCCACGGAACCTTGTGGACTTAAAGACGAATGTTGAGTTGATTTGTTGTTACTTGCAGTTTGCACACTTTCATCAACTTTGAAGTCGGACAAATGATGATGTCGGTGATTCCCATCAAAACTGTTGCAGGAAGGAGTTGCCTGAATTGCTGCATCTTGCATTTTTGTCTTTTCTGCACTGGGTTGATTCGGTGTTGGGCCTGGTTCTGATGAAGCAGCTGGATGATTTTCCTTGTCACGTCTAGCAGTTTCAGTTTTATGTGCCTGAAGTCTGTCAACTTCCATGTCCACATTGTTATTTTTGGCAACACCTCCTCCATTGATTTCTGTTCTCCTCACTCCGTCTTTCATATGATCTTCCGTATTCCTTGAAGTGACAGTTATTTCATTTTGATCTACTGAGAGAAAAAGAAAAAATCATCAAGTATTGGGAAGAAAAAGTAGAAAAACTTCCGTTTGCAATGCTTGCCTCCCCAAACTAAATTAGGTCGGTTTAAAATTGTCAGCTCACTCATTACACAAAATCAGGTAGTTGCATTTAATGAAAACAGCATGGGCTTTGGTGTCATGGAGACCCGATTCTGGAACCCATCTGTAAGCGGGCTTGACTAATTATAACCTCTGTGATCACAACTTATTACTTAACCCTTTGAGCCTCAGTTTGCTCAGATGTAAAAACGTGAATGTATTACAGTTGACCCTTGAAGGATACAGGGGGTAGGGACACTGAGCTCTCTACACAATTAAAAATCCAGATATAACTTTTGACTCCCCAGAAACTTAATAGCCTTCTGTTGACTAGAAGCTTTACTGATACCCTAAACAATGGACTAATACATATTTTGTATGTTATATGCATTATATATGGTATTCTTAAAATAAAGTAGGCTAGAGAAAAGAAAATGTTAAGAAAATCATAAGGAAGGGAATATACTTTTATATATTATTGAAAAAAATATGTATATAAGTGGACTCATGGAGCTCAAACCCATGTTGTTTAGGAGTCAACTATATATTTTCTCTATCATTTATGTAACATGCTTATTAGGATAGGATATTGCCCAGAGCAAGCACTCCATAGAACATTGCTATGTTTCTTCTTATAAGTAAAGACTTCATATCACAGTCATTGTTAAGAATGACAAAAGAAATTGACAAATTCAAAATTTATTTTTTATTCTTTATGTTTTTCCATTTCAATTCTCTTCTGTCATTTACTATTTTATACATAACATTAAGGGGAAGCAATCCCAGCAAATGTTATCAGTTTTAAATAAGGCAGACAACAGAAACATTACCTTTCAGAACAATCAACATTGGCTGAGTTGTTAACTAAGTGTCCTCACTGAAAGGGACTGTGTTTTGAGTCATAATACAAGTGATGTCACTACATAAAAATGATCATGTGGTTTTTTTCATTTGGGGGAAAAAACAACCTATTCTTCTCAGAGTTTAAACAGAAAAAACAGCCCCCCTCTCCCCTGTACTACTTTTCCTCTTAATTCTAATTCAGACTTCCTAAAAACAAAAATCATTTGCCAGTGTCTACATCAACAAAGCCACAGTTGCCAGCCAAATACATGATGGCAAAGAGATGGAATGAGACATCTGAAAAGAAACACGGGTTTATGAGTATGCACCATGTGTCTAGTACTGAGCAACATGCTTGAGTTATATACTGTGCTCCTCTACTCAAATGCCCAGAAGAATCACTTCTCCTGAATGACCAACTAGCCCCCATCTTCAAAATCCTCAGAGGCCACCTCTTTCAGCACAAGTGAAATGTGAGCCTTGGGAGCCAAACTGTGAAAGGATATCAAGTATTTCTCTATAGTTTTATCATCACTCACTTTCATGTAGATGGTAAACATCAATTTCACTGCCTAAGGTGTCATGAGATATTTAAACTAGTTCCTCCGTTAAAAAAGAAAAAAGGGAAGAAAAAGAAATGCAGGCAAAAAAATAATGTTGCCAGGTAAATTTGTATACTAACAATTTTTCAAAATATCATGTTTTTAAAGCCTACTTAACTGTATAATTTATTGGTCATCATAGTTACATCTTATATTATGCTGCAAGGTTCCCATATTAAATATATAATTTTCATTTTTATTCTCCCCAAATAAAATGCAACTAATTATAAGAATATGTATTTTCTACATGAGTGACTTTTCTCAATGATAAATAATTATTAGCTTTTGTGATTTACAAAATTAAGCACATGTGATTAGGAACCATGGAAGAGGCACATATAGGCCTTTGCTCTCATTTATTTGGCTCATAAGTATATTTAATATCTGTATGAAAAGTACTACTCTCAATGCTGCTATGAGCACCGAAGTATATAAGAAATGGTCCTTGGCACTAGCAAATCTATATAATAAAAGCCTAAGCGACCGTTATGGTGGAACAATCAGAACAACCAGTCACCATGATGCACACTGACTGCCAGGGGAAAGATGCTCAACACAGGAGCTGCCCCCTGGTGGTCAGTGCACTCCCACAGGGGGAGCACCACTCAGCCAGAAGCCAGACTCATGGCTGGTGAGCACAGTGGCGGTGGCAGGAGCTTCTCCCACCTCCGTGGCAGGGCTAAGGAGCAAGGAGTCCCAGATTGCGAGAGGGATGTCTGACTGCTGGCAGACAGACATCCTCCGAGGGGTCCTGGACTGCAAGAGGGTGCAGGCTGGGCTGAGGGACCCCCCGCCCCTACCCCCAGTGCACGAATTTCATGCACCAGGCCTCTAGTGATATATAAGAAATATATAAGAAATGGTCCTTGGTCTAAATGTATTTCCTTCTCTTATTTCTCATTTTCCACTGAATAGAAATATATCCCAGTTACGCAATAGAAACACTTTCCAAAGGAAGGTACATCAACCTAAAAATATATTTTAAATGAAATCCCTATAACAAACTCTAATTTATTGACTTAGAAATCCAAATTTCTATTTTTCACTTTTTTTTTTTTTTGGTGGGTTATACCTACTTTACCATCATCTAACTGAATTTCAAATCAAAATTTCATGATTATTCCAAATGATTGTCAGGCCTGGACACTTAGAATCATAACTGAATGTATTGCCCAGTCCATCATAAAAAAAATACCTGATTATGATGCTAACCAAGTGTCAATGAATGGACAGGCCACTTTTTTTCGAGAATAGTCAGTAGAAGGAGAATGTTTATTTTGTATTATCCTTCCCCTACTCAAAACTGACATCAATATCTATGACCTGATGAAAAGATGATTTATATAAGTATGCAGGATAGGGAAAAAAATAAAAGAGGAAAGCAGAATAAAACTACTGTAAGGACAACAGAATTTATTTGAAAAAGCACCTAGAGTTGACAAAGGTCATTGCAAAAAATCAAGTGCAAATACCAGTAAGTATTATTACAGAAGTGTACCTGTGACCCTACCACTAACTTGATGCCAAAATTTAGCAAAACATATTTAATTTGATTATCATTTTAAGAATAAGGAAGCAGCTTTAAAATCATGATTTCTCAATAGAAATGCTACTACCAAATCGCAAAAAACTGAATTGAGTAAAAAAAATGGGGAAATTATTAAAAAAATACTCAGTATTGTATCTCGGGACGGTAGACCATGAGGAAAATGAATCGGAAACATATATATTTAAATTAACCAACATGTAGGAAAAAAGAGAAATAGATCACAAGTATGCATAGAGTATACATCTTTAAGCTCTAGATCAGATAACCTCTAACATTTAACCACAAGGACAAAAGGGGTACACATGGCAGTTAAAAGCAGACTCTGGAGTAATATCACCTGAGTTCAAATCTGAGGCCCACCACTAAATAATTGTGGTACTTCAAGTAAGTTACATAATATCTTTGTGGTTCAATCATCTATAAAATGGGACTAAAGATAATAATGCTCATAAATGAGTTAACATACAAGATTAAATGAGTTAATATATATAAAGAGTTAAGAATGGCCCTTGGCACATAATAAGTGCTATGAAAGTGTTGGCTATTAGTGTTTTTAGAACTCACCATTCCCTTGACTTGAGCCCAGTGACTTCAAGTTTCTTACACTGTCAACTACCCTCTCTTCATTTCTTGGATTATATATCATCAAGTGTGGTTCTCTGCAAAAATGATATTGTATGTTATATATCGAAACTATTCAAACACACACACGCACGCATGCATGCAAGCACAATGAGAAAACAGGCAATAATTTCCAAAGACAGATGGACTAAAATAATCATCTTTTTCTGCCAAATACTGAAAATTTAATAGCAAAGAAAAAAATGCAACTGAGGAGAAATGCTGCTATGTATGTAAGCAGCATTTGGGGGGTCCTATTACAAAGAAAGATGTAAAAACCTTGTAAAATGTATACTTTCCCCCAAAACAATGTCTTTTTGTCATTACTATTTGTTTTTTAAAGAAAATGGATATAAATGAAACATTTTAATCTTGCATCTGGCATGGTCAAATTTTATTTGTCAATTACAGTTTATATTCAATATTATTTTGTATTATTACTTTCAGGTGTACAACATAGTGGTTAGACCAGCCGTGGGCAAACTACGGCCCGCGGGCCGGATCCGGCCCGTTTGAAATGAATAAAACTAAAAAAAAAAAAAAGACCGTACCC